TGAAACATCCCTGAAGAAAACTCCCTCCCTCTCCACGATGCTGCTAACCACCAATACTAGGGGTGGGACCTGGTGACCCCTTCCCAACCCATGCTGGGATTTTATCTGACTTGACTGGACTCCATCTTTTAGGTTGGGTCTCTAACTGATCTCGAAACTCCCAAACGTGGCTAAACTGGCTGGCCAGGAAGCCATAGGAATCCCCCTGCCTCTGTATGCTCCAGCACTGGGACTGCAGGTGTGCACCAGCAGGCCATTGTTTTCAGGAGGATGCTGAGGATCTGATCCGGGTTCTTGTGTCCACGTACCAAACACTTTCCCACAGACCAGACCATCTCCCTAGCCCCTGTGACTTATCATTTTTTTAAACTGCAGGAAGATATCTTGAGGGTCATAGTTCCTGTCCACAGAGTGCTAGCAGGAAGTCACTGACAATCTAGAAGAGGCCCGTCCATTGACGAGGAGCTGTTGACAGGGTACCCTCCCTGTGGTGAATTGCTGGACATGAGCTGTCTTCACGGATCCTCAGTTCATCGCTGTGAAGCAGTTTCTCAAGCTCTGGCACGAATGACATTTTTTTTTCCTTTCTTTTTTTGAGACAGGGGTTTCACTACGTAGCCCTAGTAGTGACATTTTGGGTGGGGGATATATATATATATATATATATATATATATATATATATATATATATATATATATTGTATTTTCCCTTCTGTGAGAGTTGTCCGGAGTACTCAACAATGGTTACCAGCTATTCTCTAGTCTTTGTTGGTCTTGCTGTGTAGCCCAGGCAAGTGTCGAATTTGAGATTCTCTTGCATTAGCCTCCCAAATTCTGAGATTACAGTTGTGTGTTTCCACACCTAGTTCACTCCACCACACCCACCCCTCTGTTTTTGGACAGGGTCTCAGGTATCCCAGGACAGCCTTAAGTTCACTATATAACTGAGGATGACCATGCCTCTCCACGCCCGCCACAATCTCTAACCTTGGAGGGCACCAGGGGTCAGAGATGTTGTGGGGTTCAATGAGGTAATGTCTGAGTGTGAGGTTAGTAGGTATGGGATCCCTTCATCTGGGCGTAAAGGGGTGCTGAGGCGGGATTCCTCTGCACCCCCGCCCAGGCTTGCTTGGCTAGACCCTGTGATCTCTCAGATTCTAGGTTGTTCTGCAGGGACAGCTCCTGCCTGGCTCTTTGTGCCGGGATGATCTCTAGGAGTCAGTCCAGTGTCCCCAAACAAACAAACAACAAACACATTTTACAGTTTGACTTTTTATTTCCCTTATGTGTTAATGAGTCTGTGTGTGTGTGTGTGTGCAGACATCTCCTTAAGTGTCGGTGAGTCTGTGTGTGTGTGTGTGTGCAGACATCTTTTTATGTGTTGGTGAGTCTGTGTGTATGTGTGTGTGCAGATATCTCCTTATGTGTCGGTGAGTCTGTGTATGTGTGTGTGCAGACATCTCCAGAAGCTAGAAGAGGGTACTGGATCCCCTGGAGATGGAGTTAGGTGCCATTGTGAATTTCCTGGCGTGGGTGTTGGGAACTGAACTTGAGTCCTGGAAGAACAGGATGGATTCTAAACTCCCGAGCCATCTCTCCAGCCTCACAAAGTGATTTTCCACTATGTGAATGTCCAACGGAACATTCCCAAAGGTGTGTGTGGGCTGGTGAGATGGCATCTTCCTGCCTCCATCCTCCAAGTGCTGGGATTACAGCCTTTTATCACCACGCTAGGGTATCAAGCCCACAGTTCCTGCATGCTCCGCAAGCACTTGGCCAAACTGAACTCCCTCAGCCGCCTCGACTCTTTGAATGCTCATAATGCTATTTGGAGGACTGTGGCCATGTCCCCTGGGGTCAGGGGAGCTCTGCCCTGTTCCATGGTCTATCCTCCATAAGCAGAGGGACTCAGGAGGTTAAGGAACCCCAGTCAGAAGTGTCTCCCCATTGAGACTCGGGAGGGAATCTTTGTGGGTGAGCGCTTGCCCACCCCTGCAGGACCTTGATGAGGTATGGGGATAATGAGGTGGCTAGGCATGATCAGAATTTATCAGCAACTCAGGTCTAGTTGTGAGAGCCAATATGGAGACAGCAAGGCTGCAGAGGCCGGGACAGGGGCCACAGCAGCAGGATTTGACCCTGAAGGGAGATTTAAGCCAGCAAGACAGGCCCTTCAGATGGAGCTAGCAGGGCCTCCTGAACAGATGCTGTGGAGGAGCACTAGGCACAGCTGACCCTGGGTAGATCAGGAGGTGATGATGATGTAGCAAAGCGAGAGGTGTGGGTGAACTGTTTCTAGTTGGTTGGCCCCACCACAGGGCCATTGCTCACTCAACTCCAGTCACTCTAGTGTCTTTGTTGGCTGTGGCACTTGCCACCTGCATGCTATTCTTTTTTTTTTTTTTGGTTTTTCGAGACAGGGGACAGGGTTTCTCTGTGGCTTTGCTTTGGAGCCTGTCCTGGAACTAGCTCTTATAGACCAGGCTGGTCTCGAACTCACAGAGATCCGCCTGCCTCTGCCTCCCGAGTGCTGGGATTAAAGGCGTGCGCCACCATCGCCCGGCCTGCATGCTATTCTTGAAAGAGCTTTACAACTGGCCTCTGGGGTGTCACCTCCTCAGGGACATCACTTTCCCCTTACCTTTTTTGTGATGTCTTTTCCACCAGAAGGCAGGCTCTGAGAGCAGAGATGCCGACCTGCAGCCCAACATCTGGATCTGTGCTGCATGTGGTAGCCACTAAGCCATGTGTGCTGAATGGGCCTACTTGACCTGGCGTGTACTTTATGTGTAAAGCTCACACAAGATTTCTGAGAAAGAATGGGAAATATCTCTGTAATACTTCTAAATATTGATGATGTTCTGGAATGGAGATGTTTTTGGGTAAAGCAGGTTAGAGAAAATACCACTTACATCCGTCTCAGCTGTTTCGTTTTTTTTTTTTCTTTTAATGTGGCTACAGGAAAATTTGAAATTACATTGCAGATTGGATGCAGTGGCCCAGGCCTTTAATTCCAGCGTTCAGAAAACAGAGAGAGGCAGACTTGGTGATTTTTGAGGCAGCCTGATCTACATAGTTCCAGGACAGCCTGGGCTATGTAGAGAGACCCCCGTCTCAAAAACCAAAACCAACCAACCAACCAAACAAAAATTACATTATGCCTCATGTACAATTGTACTGAAAGATGCTGACCTTGAACAGTATTTGTTGAGTGCCTTGTTCTCTGGAAAACAGCTGGACAGCCACATCTGTGCTTGTGTGGAGGGGTCTAGGCTGTAGCCAGATGTATCCACTGGGAGCATAGACATGAGCATACTGACGGCGAGGGCCCCCGGTAACTCTTCATTTTCTCTCCCAAAATAGCGACCACATGGAGTCTGTGCGACCATCCAGCAGAAGGGCTGGGACATGGGGTGCTGACTCCAGCTGGGGGGGGGGGGCAGGGAGAGCCCCTGCTGGAGGCACTTGCTTCCTTCAACTGAGCCCAAAGGGCAAAGGCAGGCAGCCTCGGGGGCAGGGCTTCAGAAAGAGACGACACCCGAGAGTGTGTCTAAAACTGGCGTCCGAAGTGGGTGTGAGCAAAACTTCAGCCTGGTGTGACAGACGGCAAGATGGCCATCTCGGAGGCCTAACCAAGGGAGCCCAACGTGCAGGAAGCTTGAGGGAAAGGGCTGGCTGTGTCTGAATGACAGGAATCCCCCGGGGGCTAAGGCAGAAAGCCCTCAGGCGGGTGATGGCATATTTTGGGGTGCGGTGGCTAAAGGTACGACCGGCAGCATGTCTAATGGAGCCTGAGGTTCCGGGGAGGGGCAGCCCTGCTCTGTCAGGACTTCTTACTTGGTCCTGGTGTATCCAGAGTGGCCACACGGGCGATGGAGGAAGGCAGGTGAGGAAAGCCAGGAAAGGATGAGTTAGCCATGGGGCAACTCTTTCAAAGTCTGTGATAGACGAAGGCTGGTTGCAAGGGAATGGGGACCCAGGAACAAATCTGTTTCGGGGCAGCTTTCCCTAAGGATGGAAAGACCTCAACCACATTTACAGACTATAGGGACGACGGCGGGTGGGAAGAGTAGAGATGGAAGCCAAAAGAACAACACTGCCTGCTGTATCTTCCAGCCCACTCCCAGTGAGGCTTGCAGAGCGTGGATGGCGGCATAAACCTACAAGATGACAGCTGGACAGGACTTTCCTCTCCCTCTGTTAGGGACGGGGACGGGGGCACCGATGGCCTCACAGGTGGCTGGGTTAGATCAGTAGGGAGAAAGCCATTATGGCCCCCACTGGCATTGGGTTCCAGTAGAAAATGACAGTGTTAGCAGATGCACACACAGAATGTGTGTGTATAGGTGTGCCCACAAAGCTTACGTAGGATGCATGCACACATGCTTGCACACAGAGCCCACAAGGACATCTATGTGCATGTCTGTGCATGCATGCGTGAACACAGGTCTGTACCTCTTGTGAGGTGTATACAAGTGTGCACATGCATGTGTGGACTGACCTCTCAGAGGGTGTACGCATGCAAGCACACACACAGCCCACGGAGGTTTAATGTGCACGAGCACCCAACCCATCGCAGCGTATCCAGGTGTGCATTATGTGTGCACAGAAAGCCCACTGGGAAAAGGACTTCTCTGACCAAGCAGGGGGCCTGGGAATGCTGCCATCGTTGCTGATTTTGCCCCCGGTAGAACAATCAGATCACTCATTGCCCTTGGCCTGTTTGCTTCCTCTCAAGGTCCCTGGCATCCTCCCTTTCCGCTGGGATCACAGCCTCCCCGATTCAAAGCAATCCCAGCACGCTGGTGCAACCAACATTAGGAAGTGCGACGCTACCCCGACCCGAACCCCGGTGGTCCCGCATCTTCTGCTCCGGGGGTGGGGGTGTACCCCTCTTCCCATCGTCAGCTCAGGCAGGGTCCTACGCAGCGAGAAGCCACTTCTCCCTTCTGCCTCCAAGGACCCCAGTGCTACTGAAGGTTCGGCCTCGGACCTCGCCGCTAGATGGCCAGGTCCTGACGCACGGTGGCCAGCGAAGCCTTGCTGTGGCCGCTGTCGCCCTCGCCCTCGCTGTCGCCGGCCGGTGCGCGGTGCGCGTAGGCGGGCGGGCCGAAGGGGTCGGGGTCCGCTCGCTGCGAAGGCAGAGAGGGCGGTGGCGGCGGCGGGAGCAGCTTCGCGCGCTGGCGACCCTTCCAAAGCAGGTGGCCCAGCTCGGCTACGCTGAGCAGCGCCGAGAGCAGCCCGACGGCGAAGTAGAAGACCACGAAGACCGTCTTCTCGGTGGGCCGGCTCACGAAGCAATCGACGATGTGCGGGCAAGGCGGGCCGGCGCACGCGTAGTGCGGGGCCACGCGGAAGCCGTAGAGCAGCGCCTGGCCACCCAGGAAGGCCAGCTCGGCGAGCAGGCGCAGAGCCACGCTCAGCAGGTAGCAGCGACGCGCGCGGCGGGCGCGCAGGGAGCACGGGGCACACGGGGCCTCGGGACGCCCGCGCGTGCACGGCGTGGCCGGCTGCGCACCACCCGCCTCCTTGCTGGCCTGGTGCATGGAGTAGATGACGAACAGCACCGGCGGCGCCGACAGCAGTAGGATGTGGAAGAGCCAGAAGCGGTAGTGGGACACCGGGAAGGCGCGGTCGTAGCAAGTCTGGCGACAGCCGGGCTGTAACGTGTTACACACGAACTCCTCCTGCTCGTCCTCGAACACGGCACCTCCCACCGTGGCCAGCACCAGAATGCGGAAGATGAGCATGATCACCAGCCAAAGGCGACCCACGAGTGGCGACTGCAGCTGCACCGCGTCCAGCAGGGAACCTAGGAACGCCCACTCCCCCATGACGCTGGGGACAAGGGAAGGGAGTAATCAGAGGCTGGAATGGACCGGACCCCCGCCCCTCCACGTCCACCACAATTTCTAACCTAGGAGGGCACCAGGGATCAGAGGTGTTGTGGGGTTCAATGAAATGAGTCTGAGTGTGAGGATAGTAGGTGAGTCCGTCCTCAGCTATGGGATCCCTTCACCTGGGCTTAAAGGGGTGCTGAGGCGGGATTCCTCCGCACCCCCGCCCGGGCCTGCTTGGCTAGACCCTGTGATCTCTCAGATTCTAGGTTGTTCTGCAGGGACAGCCCCTGCCTGGCTCTTTGCGCCAGGATGATCTCTAGGAGTCAGAGCGACTGCTGGAGTCCGGAATTCCTCATTCCGTTTGAGACTCCTGGGAGCAAGGGGAAGGCCAGGACGGGTGAGCCCCCACTGTCTCCTTTCTTTTCTTCCTCACCGTTAGAGGCTGAGACAGAAACCTGCTTTAGGAATTTCTCGCGGTTAATCTGCCCTTTCCTCGCTCTCCTACCTCGGGCCAAGGGGAATGGGAACAGCGCCTCCCGTAGCCCCCAAGCAGTTGTCAAGCATCTCCTGTAAGCCTCCCCTGACATACAGAACACACCATGTCCCCGTAGACCCTTGGTGGCCTCTGGATTCCTCCCGATTCTACTTACCCTGGGGCCTATGCTTAGAGCTGAGAGCAGGACCTTGGGAGACAGCTGGGACCTGTTCCTCTTGATCCCTCTTTCATTTTCCTTTTAGGATTTGGCTGGGGTGGATGACAGGACAGGATGGCTGAGAGGGGCTAGCTCTCCCCCTTCTCTTAAAGGGACAGGGTGACCCTGCTGTCTGGCTCCACCCTGGGATCAGACCCGGGACCACACCCCTTGCTGGGTCCTCCCTTTCCATCCTTCACCCCCTCCCATGCCCCCGTCCCGTAGCCGTCTGGTGATGGACTGAGGTCAGCTGGAGCCACATCTTTTGTTGAGGGAGCAGGGGAATCATGGAAACCCTCCCGACAGACTCCCCAAACTCAGAACAAGGTCCGCACAACTAACTGACCCCTTTTGAAAGAGTCAGAGGGAGATACCGTGGTTTTTTAGGAGGCAACGAATATCCGACGGCTTTTGACTTCGGCTCTAGGGCACTCCACCTTGGATGAACCATTTTGGTCACGTGGGTCAGAATCTCTTGGTCACCTGAGACAGCAAAGTGCCAAGATGCATCTTACTTTGCTCTGAGACAGAATCTCAGTGTAGTTCAAGCTGGCCTGGGCTCGGCTGACTGACTGTATAGGCCAGGCTGCCCTGGAAGTGTTGATCCTCCTGCCTCAGCCTCCTAAGTGCCAAGACATTAGGTATACACCACCACACCCAGCTTAGGTGCCCATCCAAGTTCAGGTTTCAGTTATGTTATGGAAGCTCAGAGCTTGGTGCCTGGAAGAAGGGGAGGACGGCATGAAGGTGCGGAAAGTGGCTGGCTCCCGTGGTTAAGCAAAGGCTCTGAGCTCTCTCCTTTCCAGAAACTTCTAGATTTCCTATGAAGAGTATGGCGCTTCATAAGGCCGACAGCAGTCAGAGCTTCCACCAAGGCTTCTCCACTGAGTGTCTTCCAACACCTAGGAGCAGGGGTGTGCTGTTCCGAGGAGAAGAGTTAGGAAAATCCTGAGGGGGAGCTGAGTGGGTGAGGATAAGACAGTTCAGGCTGAAATGTTCTCTTTGCCCCTCCTCTCTAGTACAGTCTTCAGCAACCCAGGTAGGGGACACTGTTTACAGCCGGGGATCCTTAGTCATAGATGCTCAGTCAGGGAACGGCAGATCCTGCTCTCGCTGGGCCTTAGCTTTCTGCACAAGTATAACACACCAGGGGACTATCCTCGCTCCCTAACCAGGCCGGCCTTCCCCAGGGTCTTGTGTGGGGCTGAGGGTGCCGGCTGCCACTGGAGGTGGCTATGCTTATCCCTGCGAAGGGGAAGGTCGTTAGTCACCCTGTTCTCTGTGATATTGCTCCCCCCAATCAGGCACGAAGGCCTGCACGGGTTTCTGTCTGTCAACAGGGGGTCCCCTGATGGGAAATGTGTTCTCTTTCCATTGGTTCAGGCAAGGGTCTAGCCCAATCTGAAAAAAACCTTTGGTTTAACTCCAGCACGGGTGTGCCCTTGACTGTTTCCACCCTCCTGCAGGGTCCGGTAGAAACAGGTCTGGGTGTGGGGGTGCTGCCCTGGATAAAATCCAAGAAAATAGCACGTGCCAGAGCCCCACATTTGGCAAACAGGATGTGAGGTGGGGTGCTCACGGTGACCTCTGCCGCTGGCTTCTGTTCTCAGCCGTGGAGGCTCGGGGTCACGTCTCATCTCTCCTAACTGTCCGGGAATGGTCCCAGCCCATCCCTGTCGCTCCTGCTTCATCAGCCTGGAAAAAACCTACCAGACCCCACCCCGCCCCACTCTGTGTGCCTGCAGGGAGGGGAAACACGTGCTAGAGCAGCGGTTAGGGTGGGGAGCCCATGGTCACCCTGCCCCGTCCTCCCACCCCCAAGCTCCTGATGCCAGAGGAGACTCTACAATCTCCAGGACCCAGGCCCCTGCCCAGATAGCACTGGGCAGGCTGGGAGGTGTTGCTGACAATACCCAGCCCTAGTGGCACTGGCCCTTCTGGGCCCTGCTTGAAGAACTGGGCTGAGGAGCTCTGTGTCCCAGACACCTCAGCCTGGCTATCGGGCTGTGGTGCCAGAGCCCTGCCACAGCCGCTCATGGTCATACACAGGGGCATGCATGCGTCTGTAACTGGCAAGTTCACGGCAGTACTGTAGCCCATACATGGCAATATTTGGAAAATGAAACAAACAAGTCACAAGCGGCTGCACAGAGTTGTTCCTGGACACAAGGCCTTCTCAGTGGCGTCGCTGTGTTCGAACTTAATTCCTATTTCCCATCCCTCCCCGCCTTTCTCCTCTGCACCAGTCCTCTGTTCAGCTAAACATGGAAGCAATGTTAGTGATGGGACTTGGGGTGCTTCCTTCCACGTCACCCCCAGCACCTAGAACACTTGGGGCCACGGTAGATGCTCTGAAATAGCCGCTGGCTGGATAAGGGGCAGCGAGAGGGACGGCAGCAAGCTTGTAGCGTCCTGGTTCCATGCCAGCTGCTTGCTCTGTTCTCCTGGGCTTCAGTCCAGTAAGCGCCCCGTTCGGTATCTGATTAGCTTGCAAAATGTACAGGCCCGGGTGGAGGGTTGGCACCCAAGTGGGGAAGGGGCTCGGGTGGGGAAGAGGTGGGTGTTCTCCGGTCCTTCTCTAGCCACCTTCCAACCTGCACAGCTCCTGAGCCTTTGAACCTTTCCCACAGCCTAGCTTCTCCCTCCTCCCAAGGTACCTCATACTTGACCTTGGCTTCCACACTCTTGGGTGCTGTATTGTATGTAGTTCTTACAGAACCCACCCCTCTCCCCTGCTTGGATACCTCCTTTGGCTCTGGAATTCTTTTTCTTCTCTCTCTCTCTCTCTCTCTCTCTCTCTCTCTCTCTCTCTCTCTTTTTGAGACAGGCTTTCTCTGTGTAGCTTTGGTGCCTGTCCTGGAACTTGCTCTGTAGACCAGGCTGGCCTTGAACTCAGAGATCCACCTGCCTCTGCCTCCCAAGTGCTGGGATTAAATGTGTGCCCCACCACCTGGATCTGGAGTTCTTTACTGTTTGGTTTTGTAGCAGCAAGAATACCAACCAATGGCTTTGTTAACCAAGAAGCTGGTGCCTTCCTTCCTAAGAAGGGTAGAGGACCGCACTGCCATGCAGTAGACACCAAGCAGTCATCACCCAAACACATAGCATCCACACAGCGTCTCAGGAGAGTCCAGGACGGACCTGTATCCATTCTTCTCATACATCTTTAGCCAGAGCGGGCTCCTATGTCTACTCCCATGGGCAAATGGAGGATGGGAAGTGTAGTCTGTTCTGGGGGCTGTACCCTCAGGAGGGGAGAATACAGTCAGGGTCATGGGTTCACTTCTGGTGCTGGCTCTCCACACTGGAATGGGCACTGGAGTCACCTGGTGTTCCCAGTCTTTGCCCTCACCAGCTGAGAAAGAAGAGAAGCCTTTGTGGACTGGCTTGTCATCTTATTCTAGACCCTTCCAAACCACTGCACTTCTTAGGCCTTTCTTCAAGGGTAGCTGACAACCAACCTCAACCCTTTTGCCTCATTACCTCACGTGAAGGCTCCATCCCTCTCAGACTTCCATCCCACTTTGGGAACGTAACCTCTGTCCCGTGAGTAGAGCCTGGGCCCTGCATTGGCTCATCTGAGTGACCAGAGAGCTCGGGAATTGGAGGTAGAGCTCTGAGACTGGGGTGTGGAAGGGCTTGAATGTTTCCTAAGATTAAAAAAAAGTTTTTTTAAATATTTATTTATTTATTATGTATACAATATTCTTTTCTTTTAATTTATTTATTTATTATGTATACAATACTTTGTCTGTATGCCTGAAGGCCAGAAGAGGGCGCCAGACCTCTTTACAGATGGTTGTGAGCCACCATGTGGTTGCTGGGAATTGAACTCAGGACCTTTGGAAGAGCAGGCAATGCTCTTAACCACTGAGCCATCTCTCCAGCCCCTGTATACAATATTCTGTCTGTGTGTATGTCTGCAGGCCAGAAGAGGACACCAGATCTCACTACAGATGGTTGTGAGCCACCATGTGGTTGCCAGGAATTGAACTCAAGACCTTTGGAAGAACAAGCAATGCTCTTAACCACTGAGCCATCTCTCCAGCCCTAAAAAAATGTTTTAAGGCCGGGCAGTGGTGGCGCACGCCTTTAATCCCAGCACTCGGGAGGCAGAGGCAGGTGGATCTCTGTGAGTTCGAGACCAGCCTGGTCTACAAGAGCTAGTTCCAGGACAGGCTCCAAAGCCACAGAGAAACCCTGTCTCGAAAAAAAAAAATGTTTTAAGGCCAGGCAGTGGTGGCACACACCTTTAATCTTGGGAGTTCTGAGTTCGAGGTCAGTTGTGTCTACAGAAAGAGT